CTGCCTAATGGCTGGGTAAGCTCTGGTTCAAAAGATGCTGAATGGAGATACTATGAATTGAACTTAGGACCATGTGCTCTGCCACGGAGTGAAATATCCCTGGTGTATTTCTTTCTACATGTATCGTTCTGTGATTAGTTCATAAAGAATATTCACAATGTTAATGGTATCCTTAAAAATATCACCTTTTAAAAGTTGTAATTGGCCAATCTAGTGATGCAGAATCTGTATTTGATGCAAATATTGATGGTGCAAATATTACACTTTCCTTTTGAGGGGTGGCTTTTCTCACGGTGGTGAATGTTATTCTTTTCATTCATTCATTCTTCTCATGTGGTTGCAAGACTCATAAACAAGGCAGAGTATATCCACAACTAAATTACTCCTCTCTGTTTGAATAGCTGTCAGAGGACAGGCCTCTCTTTGTAGAAATGTTCTATTTAAATGACTGCCCTGTCCTTATAGAAAATGAATCCCTGGAAGGGATAAGAGGGCCTTTAAATCGCCCATCAGCACCTAACAGGAGACTGAGCAAGCACATAGGTCACCCGGTTACAGTCTTCTCCACTATGATGAGATGGATTGTATTTCTGTTTCTAAATTTGCATCTTTACATATAGATATGCATATGAAAATTTATGAAAATATTGTCTTCTTTTATTTTGGTAGTGCATTTCCCCTGTTTTTGGTGATGCAGAAGTGGCCACTCTTAACTTCCACTCTGCATGCCTTTCTCATCAAGCTGGAATTTGTTAGTCCCATTGAGCTGAGAAACACTTTCAACCAAGTAAATATATGTGTTGTAAATCCCATTGATTTCATTGGCACCTACCTACTTACCCAGACTGCACTTTTAAAGCTTGAACTGACACGTTTGTTAGACTGCCTTCTAGCTTCCTCTCTGTATACACCTCAGACCATAATTCCTACCTCGTTGGAAAAGAGTATTTATTTAAAGATGTGATAAAAAAGAGCATTCATTATGTTCTGTGCAGTGGTGGTGGTCAGATACAAATCTGCTAGCAAATGTTTCAAAGTAGAAAACATTTCAAAGTATGTTTTTTTTTTTTCTTTAAAAAGTGCATTGTCAACCATTTTTGGGGTTCTGAGTAAGAGTTTCCATTCAAAGAAACTGTTAATTATTCTTTCTCCCCCCCCCCTTGTATTGGTATGTGATCTCATTCACCTGTACTGATGAACACCTGTGGGTTGGTTCATGTTACGGAAAGACAGTCCTTGAGGTAACCTTACAAGGCTTTATAGGTCAAAACCAACATTTTTAATTGAGCCTGGAAGCTAGCATCGGTGTTATATGTTCAGACTGACCTATCCCAGTCAACAACTGGGAGGCTGGATTCTGCACTAGCTGCATTTTCCAATTTGACTCCAGAGGCAGCCCAATGTACAGCACGTTGCAGTAGAACAACACAGAGGATACCAGAGCACAGAAGACAGACGTTAGACTTTCCCTGTCCAGATAGGAGCACAATTGGGCCAAAACCTGAAGCTGATGGAAGGCCCTCTGTGCCACCAAGACCACTTCAGCCTCAAGCGACCGTTCTTAATGTTCTTGCATTGACACGTATCATTAGACTGTGCATATTAAAAGATTAGTAGCATTGACTTTGCATGGTTTGCTTATTTGTTTGTATAGTGCCCTGTCCTTCCTCCAAGGAGTCCAGAGAGACATTCGTGTCTCACAGTGGCATATGATAAGCTGGAAGGTCACCATGGTCCTTCATAGACCTTCACAGCATATGAGCCTGGATTTACCACATCCAAGCCCAGCACTCTACTACACCACATTCCGTTTCAATAATCATATTTCCAATAGCAGTATGTATTCAAACGAATCATCTCCAGAATTCTCCTTAGGCTCATAGGAAGCTGAGTTACACGGCTTTATACCCAGTCAGTCCATTAGCATTTGTCTGCACTGCAGACAAGGTTTCAGGCAGAGCCTTTCTTAGTTCTACCTGGAAGTGCCAGCCAGGAGCTGAACTTGGGATCTTCTGCATTCAAATCATGTACTCTATGGTCCATCTCAAAATTACATTTCTAGGGTTGCCATACAGTCAGAAGCAGTATCCGGGTGGGAATCAGTAAAAATGTCTGGGTAAATCCAGACGTATGGCCAAGAAAAGCTCAATAAATTTGGGTAAACAAAAACAAAAACAAAACAAAAAGCTCAGCCAACAACTTTCCCCTGCTCCCAAAGCAACCTTAACAGTTTCCTGCTAAAGGACCTAAATGTATCCTGACAAATTGTTCGCTATAGTGATGCCTCAGGTTTGCTTGCTTGAGAGAGTGCAGCCCAATGATCACTGTTCAAAATGCAGATTTGGAAAAGGATTAACTGGGATTGACAGTCTTACCTTTTTCCCCAGCCACATAAATAGAAGAACACAATTTGAAAATCCTGTTTTGGAAGCAAAGAGGAAGCTCCAGCAGCGTGCCATGACCAGCGCAGAACTTGGAACCAAGCCTATGCCGGCCCAAGGTTTCCGAGGTACAGTATCATGTCAGTGCACCATATTTAAAACTAAATTAATTCCATTAAATTTTCCAATTCTTATGGCAAAATGATCAATATATAAATATAGAAATGAAACCTCTATTTTTCCACAATTGAGAAGAAAATATGAAAAGAAATGTTACCCTTGAGTTCAGCTCGTGTTCTTAAATTTTCTGTGATGACAAATCCATCAAAAACATGTTGTAACTGAATCTTCTCCCACAGGGAGTCTTACATTTTGTTATAGTAAACTTTACGGGGCGGGGGGGGGGGTGATCCTGTATGGGCCAGCCTATATAAGACAAAACAAAAGTTAAATTTCTTAGCTGGTGGGATTGTTCTTGTGCATGGAAACAGAAAGATCAAATAAAAATAAGTGTTTGCACATTTGAGATAAGGGGTTGCACATTTGAGAAAAGTAGGAAGCTTTTAAAGTCCAAGAAGCAAGAACCCAAAGAAAAATAAAAAGCCCTGAACAATGTGGGTCCAGAATGACACCAGAGCCCTTATATTCCAGTGATCTCAATCACTGAGATCCTCCAGAGAGCTGCTGTTCGTTATCTCCCATGCTTCAGACACCAGCTGGCTTCAACTAGAAGTCAGGCCTTTAGCGTTGCTGGTCCCATGCTATGAAATACTCTGCTAGCGGAGATTCAGTGGCCATTCTCTTTTTTATGCCAACAGGCCTGTTAAGTTCTTCTTTTTTCCAAGATGAGTCAGTCATTTTATGATTATTTTGTATTGCTTTTATGTATTGTACATTTTATTGTATTTGTATATATTATTGTTCACTGCCTTGGGATTTTTTGTGAGTGGGTGATATATAAGATGGTTATAAATACAAATAAACTTTCCATAGAAAGAAAGAGGTGGTTTGTGGGTCCTCTGCCCTGTCACCTCAACAAGTAAGTATGCACAGAGCGGCTCACAGTGTGTAGGGGCTCATAGTGTCTCTCCTGGTCCAGCTGTAGGACCAAAATGGACAGGACATTAAATATGTGAATGCAGTAACCATACCTGTTCCCCCCCCTCTTTAACAAGTTTAGCTGCAGAGCCTGGGGAAGGTGCTGCACACGATGATCCTGCCAATCCTCTTCCCCACCAAAACCGCTTGATATTAACCCTAGGAAACTTTCCTTCTGGGGATAATAGCACAAGGAAGGAGACTTCCATCAGGATCATAGAGTGGGTGGAAAGGGCAGCCCAAACTCTATATGCCATGTTCCTCACCCTGCTCATCACTCCCCACTCCACAGCTACTATTGTTAAAGGGGAAAACCAAACACATTAACTGCATTCAAGCATTTAATGCCATCTTTGTTTGGGCCCACTGATGTACGGTCAACCTGGACAGTGTTCTGTCAGAGGAACTTTACCTCCCATTGAAGCTGGCGGCACCTTCTTAGGGAGCCGTTCCTCACATTTGGAGAACGATGGCTTTAGAGCCCTGCTTGTTGGGAAGTTTTGAGGTTAAATATCTTGGTGATGTGGAAACATGCTGGTTAACAATCTATATATGGGTATAGAGATTATTATTTTTTACCTGAGCTTGTAGCCAAAGAATGAGGCTTCTTCTCCTTTATAACAGTAGAAAGCTCCTCATCAACATTACCTAGGCCCAAACTTGTTCACCCGTGCCCAGCGCCTCAGAGGTCTCGCAGTGTGAGTGACCTGTCTCTGTATCGGCGGGACATTGCTGGAGTGTACAGGCTTTATGGTATGTTCAAGTGCTGCTATTTACCCAGGCGGCACTTTTGTAAAACAAGTAGCGAGCTGCACTTTTTTTTAAAGGGAAAAAACCCACCCTTTTCACCTTTCCCCATACCTTTTCTTACACAATAAAGCACAGAACAGAGGCACTGGATGTCAGGTGAGGCCATTTATTTTGCCTGCTGGTCTTTGTCACACTTTACACAGAATCACACTGAAAGTTGATGTCAAGGTCACAGAACCGTCTCACAAGTTGTAACTGTTCTCTATCCAATACTAAAACCCTGCTTGCTCACATAATGTGTATGCTTGTGTACACACACACACACACACACACACAGTGTGCCTAAATAAGCAAATTCCACTGCTATTTGGAATTATTTTACAAAGCTACTTCAATAAATTAAAAAAAATGACTAACTTTTCTTTTACAACTTGCAACAAACAAAGAACCACAACCTTGTACTCACTCACTTGGGACTAAGTCTTATTGTATTGAATAGGACTTAATTCCAATTAGTCGTGTGCATAGGGTTGCACTCTAAGACACTTTAGACAAGGAAACCCTGCCTTTGCTGGTTTTTACCTTCAGTAGAAGATAACTCAGTAATGCTTTTGTTTCACTGGGAATGCTTGCACTTTTATTTTGCTTTTATTTTTCAAAACTGCCACCCTGTTGCCTGCTGTTGCTTCTGCTGCACTCTGGGGACCCAGTCATTTTGTTTACAGCACGGCCAAAACATTCTTTGTTTTCTCTTTATGTTGACTGATGTAGAAAAACCGCTCTTCACCCGTGATGCCTCACAGCTGAAAGGGACTTTCCTCAGCACGACTCTTAAAAAAAGCAATATGGGCTTTGGATTTACCATCATTGGTGGGGATGAGCCCGATGAGTTTCTCCAGGTGAAGAGTGTCATTCCTGATGGGCCTGCAGCACAGGATGCCAAAATGGAAACAGGTAAGTCGGAGGCTTTCCTCAATTTAGAGGAGGATGGCTTAAACTTAGCACCCATTGGTATTTCCCAATTGCTATCGGTGGCCTGTTTGTACATTAGACCTTTACACACAGAGAGCAACCAGTCAGATTGTTCTTTCTCTGTTCAGACATTCCTACAGAGTGATTGCCCCTCCTCTGTTTATTTGGTCTGTAGGACTGGCTAACTTCAAATTCAGACAGGGGAGCTAGCACTATGTTTTGATCAAGCAAGAGGTTGAAAATGGGTCAATTCATTCTTGCTTTCTTAGAGAATAAGACTATTTGGGAGGTAGCAACTTTATTTAACAGATGTGTGTTTATTTTACACTTTCAGTAATAATATCTAGAGGTCATAGTCCAGCAAGTCACAAGAGTGCCAGATTTCAAATGGCACTTGGACGTATTTCCACTTCTATATTCAGTCATGCGAAGTGTGTGCATTTATGCTTTGCTAGGTTACAGCTTAATGCTTTGTAGAGTTCCAAGTCTGTTCTTAGCCATCCTGTTTGATATGTGAAGGGAAGAGGCGTTTGAGATCCAAGGTACAACTGTACTTGAAATTGAGTCTTGAAGATAACATGGAAAGAGGTCACTATGTCTGTGGACCAATTGCGTTTGTTGCACTTCTACTTCCTTCTGAGTTCACGATCACCAGATATTTTCCCTGAATCTAGTTTTCCATACCAGCTTTGCTGTTTCATTACTAAGAGTGCTGCAGATTGCTGGCTTTACATATTCCCTAGCCTTCATGATTTATGGGGAACTCTTATCTGATGGTGTCTCGCAGATCTGCATCTTTGTTTGTGTTGTATACTGGATATTGTTATCTTGTTGTTTCGGTACTTTGAATTCTGAACATGGAACAGAAGTAAACTGGATATAAAAGCAGACAAGTTTCAAACTGCTCAGCAGGGATGATATCATAAGGCTTGTATCTACAAGCAGAGATTTATGTTATACATGGACTTTTCACTCACATAAGCAAACTGTTACAGCAGGATTGGGCAAGATTTGAAAAAGAGGGCGCTGCTTGAAAGTGAGAAAAAATATGAGCATATATAGGCACTGTGTTGCAATGGAATTAATGCAAAATGGGTCTATGTCCTTTCCTAGAGCAAATAGTGAAATGCAGTTGTATGTTGCCTAAAATATATTGTGTTTAAGGCTCTACCAAGCACACCCATAACTTCAGAAACATTTGATATTATGAGAGTAACATAACAGAGTCTTGTTGTTTCTGATTTTTCATGACACCCTTTGTCATATCTATTGCACGTGAATATGCTGTGTAAAAGTAGCTCTTGTGTAAACCACCTTAAGTCCTTCCTTTCTTTTTTTCACTGTTGTATTTGTAGAGAGCTTCCTGTGGCAACCATTTACAACCATTATGATCGTACAATGGACAATCGTAACATCAGATTTTTTGAGAAATTCAGATTCTTACATTCCTCAAATGAAGTTACTCACTAAACCCTGGTCTCAGCTCATATTAAGATGACCTTGCAGGCACAGAGGAACTTCATAGCCCTGGTGTTCATCTTTTTAAAAATTAATATTTCTGTTTTACTTCACAGTAATTCTATCACTTTCATTCAATCTGAGCTTTCTCCAGTGCCAAGATAATACCTGTATATTCCCATTTATGTTAAACAAAATCTCTGGATAAGGTATTTTCTAGTATTTCAGAGTTATTGAATTCAAATCCTCTTGAGGCTTCAGTTTTATTGCATTTTCTTCTGAGCTTCCACCCTCCCCCCGCCTTCCTTTCTGAGCTAGGCAGATCTCTATATTTTCTGCATGCTGTTGAAAACCTTAGATAAGCCACAGTTTCAAATAAGATTTCAAATATTGCAGAGCTCAGGACTTTCTTGGTTTGTGATGAAAAATAATGGGATATGAATAAAGAGCAAAATATCATAAAATGGGCATTGGTTTGGGGCCTATCTAGAAGAGTTTAAATTTGCAGGAAGAAAGCTAATCTTCAAATAAAAGCTTCAGTGTTCCATCAATATGTGTGCTTCTGGAGGCAAGTATTACTTACAGCCACTAAAATAACATTGCCTGTTTATTTCCATTGTTCCATTGCCGTTTTCCCTTATCTTTTCCCCTTATCTTCACCTTTTCTCCATGAAAAGTTGCCTTCATTTGTTCACGTCTCTACGTTATTCCATTGCTATGCTATTCAGTTGTTCTTCGGTATAGACTTCTACTTTCTATCTTTCTGTCTGATATACTTTGATTCCGTTCTTATTCTAATTGCTGCTTTCACACCAGTTGTTTATGGAGCCTGTGGGCACTCTGATGATCTTTATTACAACTCAATTCTAGAACAGTTCTGTGCGCACATTAGTTTCTGGGACCAGGCTCAAAGGTCTTGAGCAGATGCAAGGAGGCAAGTGGAAGTCTTGGGAACTTGCAATAGCTACTGCCTAGTCAAGGCCAGAGTGGCACATAAACATTTCCCTAGTGGACCAGTTAAGGTGGCAGGAGGACTAGCAGATTTGACTTGCCAACAAAGACAGGCTGCATTTCTGTTTATTAAAAAAAATATACCGGCCAGAACATAACTCGCTTCTGTCTGTCTCTGTGTGTGTTTTAGACTCTCTTTTCTGCCCCACTAGCCCCAGCACCAAACATAGATCAGGCAAGTATCACAAAATGTCTTTGGCTTTCACTGCGATCAGTCTGCTGTGCTACTGCATCAGCTACATTTGGCATGCCCTCCTCTGGAGCCAGGAGTGCCTTTTCCTAGCTTTATCTGGTTTGCCAGCTATGGCTGTTGCGTGTCAAGGTCCCCAAGCCACCCCCAAATAAATCACAATTCACACAGAATTTTTGTTTAAGGTTTTTGGCATAATTTTGGCCACAACTTTATTAAAATACATAATGTGAATAGGCATTGGTTACGACTATCTGTCCCTGCCCAGGGACAGAACTGACTTCCAGATTCCAGCTAAAGCCAGTCAGGGAAAACAATATTGGGAAGAAAATGGATGGGGACAGACTGACATTTGTACGACCGCGAAGTCAGAAGGGGAAAAACATTTTGGGGAGAGCGATGGAGCAGGGGACCTGCCCTCACCTCCCCCCCAATGCTCCCCATGGGCACTTGCGTGGCTCTAGCCCCCTGAGAGGGGTTCGGACAAAAGCATGTCGAGCCCCTGGATTCCTTTAACGGAATACCCTTGCAGCAGCAGCATTGGAGGGGCAGGCGCAGCCAATCCATACCCCTCCACCAACCAATTCATAAAACCCAACCGCAACCTTACAAGTTGTGACGATTTGCTACGCAGTAGGCAAAAACCAAATGGCACCAGCCAATCAGCCAAATGGACAAAATTCCTACCAGGCCCCTGCCCCAAAAGCAGACAACCCCATGACAGACATAGCAAGGTCAACACGAACTACCCTAAATATAGGGAGGGTGGGCGGGCAATCCGATGTGCGCAGCAAAAAGAGGAAGCTCAACGCTGCGCACAGGGTTTTTTAATTTTAACACTTCTGGCTGTCAGTCAAGAAATGGCAACATCAAATTCTCCCCAACGACAAGGGGAGCCCAATCACAATGGTGGCCACCTAATTTACCCGCCCAGCAACACTGGGGTGTCTTCTTAGCCCCCACCGCAACACATGCTCTCCATGAAGGAGAACACGTTTTCCAAAATCATATGAAAACTGGAACCCAGCCATCCTTGGAATTTGCACTTTTCAAAGTTTTGTAATGTAGCAAAGTAATGGACACATAAATGCATGTGTTAGGGTAAAGTCTGGATGACAGGCATATATTAGTGATACTAACATAAATGCATTTTGTTAGGGAAATTTGGCTTGAAAAAATATATACATTAAGCAAATTTACATGCACATGTAAAAATGTATATACTAGGACAAATTTGCACTAAAGTGCTGATTAATTTTCACAAGAACTTAAAATAAAATAATCCTCAAACTGTTATGGAAATGTGGAAAACCAAAGTCAAGACTGGAAAAACAAGAAACTGAAATATTTGAAATATTTGTCTATCCCTAATCAGAAATCCTTCCAACCAGAAAACCAGGCTGTTTTCAGTTTCTGAAGTGATGGCAAAGAATGCGTTTTCATCTTCGTTTTTTAAATACAGTCATACCTCGTGTTGCGTTAGGTTCATGTTGCGTCTTTTCAGCTTGCGAATGCAGCAACCCCGGAAGTGTATACGTCCAGGTTTTGCCACACGCGCAGAAGCGTTCTGCACGCTTCGCACATGCACAGAAGCACCACTCTAGTTGCGGACTTCTCGGGGTGCGAACGGCACCCCGGAACGGATCGTGTCCGCAACTAGAGGTACCACTGTAAAGTGGCATTATTGTGGTGTCATCTACATGGGAGGATCAACCTGTACCATCTTTCAGTGTGATAGGCCATTTTAGACCCCTTTTGTGAGACCTTACAAAACGTAACATGATATGGAGCTTGTTCATTTATTTCTTATCTTCCTCATAGCACCAACCATGCAGCTGTCTTTTCTTAACTGGGCCTGGCATGCTGCAGACGGGACATTTTATAGCCCTTCCAAGGTGTCATTATTTCAGCCCCCGCTGCAAGAAAGCCTGGAAGACCATAGCCCTGTGAGCTCTTATGAAGCAATTGCGGGGGGGGGAGGGACTCTAATGAAAAGCATATCTGACATCTCTTTGGTTTTCTGTTTGCACAGGATGACAAAAATCTCCAAATTGGAAATGGTAGTTGTCACAATTTAATTTCCCAGTTGATTCACTAATGGCAAATTATGTGTATTGTTTCACTACATGAGGTATCAGGAGGGTGAAAGGATCTGGTGGTCTTGTATAACGAAATGACAAGCAAATGAGACTTCGTAATGATGTATAAAGATTAATAACCTAGAAGTGTCTTTTGAAAATGTATCATTTCAGCATTCCATCTTTGGTTTCATCTTAATGGTACTGCAGTTTTACATGTTGTTATTTTATGATATAACCCCCCACCCCATCATACTTCTCCAGCATATACTTTTATCAAGTAGGTAGACTTCTATCTTTAAGCCAGTTGCAAGTCTCTAAGCTGAAAGTATGTGGACCTCTAATAATAATAATAATAATAATAATAATAATAAAAATAAATGCACTTGTTCTTGGCAACCACCTTTCTCAAGATACAGCTGTGGCTGTCGAGACCAATACAAGAGAGGCATGCTTTATTGCAGCTGGGGCAGTGGTGTGTGGTGATTTTTTTTTTTTTTTGGGTAGGGCTACAGTTAGGGCAAGAGGCACCAGTTAGTGAGGATGATGGGGGGGTGCCACATGCGTGAGCATCGCACCTCCCTCCCTAAGCCAGGCAGAAGCTTCCAGGGCTTTGGGAAGAAGCCACCAGGGGAACATTTAGGGGACTAAACTAGCTCCCCAGTCCAATAACCGCACACCACTGAAGATGAAGGCACCCAGTTTGGCTGTTACAGAGGCACCATGGCGTTTTCCCTCTCTATGCTCCTCCCAGTAGTCATATGCAAGAATGTAAGATAACTACAGTGTAGTGAAACTTTTTTTTCATTCTCTTGAAAAGTGTTACCTGAACTTATGAGGACTTGGTGCACTCAGCCTGTTTGGCTATCATTTCAAACTCACGTTTTCGTTTTCCCTCACAGTCTGCAACTTCATTCATGCCAAGCCATGGTTTAGTGCCACAGAAATGAGCCCTGGGCAAAGTTTAGTGGTTTCTGTGGCCAGCAATGGAGCAGAGTCCAGCCACTTCAGTGGGGTATAATTATGGTGCCTGAATTATGTATAGCTCTACATAAATCAGTTTTCTTCTTTTGAGATTTGCAGCTAATTTGTACTACCAAGCACATTTCCTAGGTTAGTGGTGTGGAAATTTCATGACTGTCTCAAACTGTGAGATTATAGATCTTGGTTTTTGTTGGTATGAACTGTAACATGGGCATGTCATATGTCACTTTAAGATCACCCAGTCTCTTCCATCCTCCATCACATATGAGTGGAGGAATTGTGTTAGTACCACCAAGTTCCCAGTGCATATACCGAGGAAAGGCTGCTGTGCTGGTCCCGGGGGTGGGGGGTTACCATGAGGCGTGGTCAGAGTCCGGTCCTGGGTCCTGGGTCTGGAGACTGTCCAGCAAGGGCGAAGCGGGGTCCAAAGCAAGAAGCTGGGCATGGTCAGGAACTCCGGAGAAACAGGTCTGGGTGCTCCCACAACCTGGGACTGGGCTGACTGGCCTTTATCTCCTCTGAGGCCAGGGGCGGTCCTGGCCCACAGGTGACCCGCCTCTCCTGGCCTTAAGGCGAGCACTCCTCCTGAGAGAACTCAGTTGCCTCCGCCTCTCTGCCCTGAGCCTCTGCAGCTCAGGAGAGGCTGGAGGGTTACTGGACCCAGGAGCAGTTTCACCTTCCCCTGACAGGGCTGGGAGAGGCGCACCTGCAGGCAATGGGTCCTCAATCACCTCCGGAGCCAGAGTGGATGCATCTGGTGTCTGCTCCTGAGGATCTGGCACAGGTGCAGGCCCTTCAGATTCAAGCCCCTGCCCCAGCTCAGCCGGCCCTGGAGGCGTGGACTCCTGTGCAGGCTGGGACTCCTCAGATTCAGCTTCTGAATCAGATTCCCAGGCCATTACAGCTGCTCTCTTACACCTTGGCAACCCTGCCTCCCTGTCCTGTTGCCACCTTACTTGTTTCATCCTCTAGTCTAGATTCTGGGCCACATGGCACATATTCTATTGCCACCTTTCAATCAAGGCCCACTTGGGTCAAGCCCTTAAAGTTGGACAGTTGCTCCGAGTCTGTTCTTCTCCTTTCGTTTGATCATCAACACTGCTGTGTTACACATGAGGTGACCAGAAGCCTGTTTGTAAGTAGCTGCAAAAGGATAGATAGACTTGAAGTAAAATTTTCATAATTTTCTAGAAGCTACATTCTTCCTCTTCTGTCCCCGTCCCCCTATTCAGTCACGTAACACATAATGTTAAGTGGGCTTTGGCTGAGAAAAGCAAGCTGCCATTGGGAGAGGCTAGCAAGCTGGGGGCTCTTTCTAGTTCCTCTCATATTGACCATCAGGATTCACTTCCACTTGGGGTTTAAAGGCTCATAAGGGAAGTGGGACATCAGTCTACCTGACAGTCTCTTGCATGGCTGGACTGCCCAAGCTGGAAAGATGGGAGTAAAAGACCCTCTTCCATTACATGAACAGTCAACCCATCTATCACGTAGGTTCTCCTAAGAGTTTTTGGAAATTTCAGAGTGCTCTAATCTTTGAGATAACTTCTATGCCCTGCAGACCTCTATAGATATTTGAGGTCATTGGTACAAAATGCTATAAATACGGCAAGCTAAACCTACTCAAATGCTAATATTCTTTGCATATGTGATATATTATACTGCCATGATGTATTATACTGCCATATAAATAGCCCTTGAAATAAGCATTATGAGCAATTTACTAATTTATTTTGCTCTTGATTTCTCAGTAGATACAGAAATAATTTGTGGAGTAAATTAAATGGCAAGTGTGGATATCAGCATATTAGATTACATGTCTTTTCCAATTTATCAGGATAGCTAGATTCACATGGTAGAAAGGAATTTCTCCCATCAGAATTTTCATCCATAACTTTATTCTGCTTGTGGTTTTATTAAGAAGAACTTCTCTTATAATACAGCTCTCTCTGTGTGTGTGTGTGTGTGTGTGTGTGTGTCTGTGTGGTGTTGTTTGGATCCTCAGACATCTGACATATTTACTTGTGATAGCATATACATCTATGTCTGCATTAGCACTCTTTTAGTTTTATATCAGTTTTGTACCTTTTTTGTTCCAGTACAAAGCTTATGGGTTCCTGTGGATGACCTGTTTATTGAGCTTTTATCCAGTTTTTCTTGCAGAAAGCTTACACGGAGGTTAGATTATTGAGCATTTGTTCTTAATGGTTTGCAAGGAGGTTATATGACAGTGAGCATCCAACATGATTTGCTATGTATTCCCATTAATCACCCATTCACTCCACAATTTTCATTTCCTCATCACTTTCCTAACCGGAAAAAAAATCTGTTTCTTTTTAAAAGTGGATTTGTTTTGCTAGGGCAACAAAACACTTTTATCCACTCCAGTTGAGCAAACCTAAATTTACTGGTATGCGCTTGAAACCCCCTTACAAAATACTGACAGTATGAAGACGACCTACATTTCCAATACAATGCATCCTTCACCTCCTGACATTATGAACCTGGACTGTCAATTTTTGTAAACTTGCCCAGTTATACCTATGCTGTCAGTCATATGCTACTGTTAAAGGTAATGTGTCAGGAAATGTAGGAGGATGACAAATTTGTGTCTACTCTGAAGTAAGTTTCATTTAGTTTAGTAGTGGGGCTTATTCCTAGGTAAAAGGCCACAGGACTGCAGCCTAAGTGTTTTTTAAAATAGTCAGGACTCTGAGAATGGAAGGATACTGGGGGGCCACCAGGTGGCGCGTTGGAAGATGGCCGACAATAACATCTCTCTGACCCATACGAGGTACTAAGGGGCTACTATGGGAAGTATGTAGCCTTCCTGAACTCCTCCAGGATGTGGAGGAGAACTGCCCTGCCAGCGGTGTTCACAATGCACCCCTGAAACGAGTGATGGGGTGCCGAACACTTGGCAAAAGGCCCTCGGTGAAGTCAGACCTTCCTGACGCCGATTCCAATTAGCGCGTGCTGGTTGCTTCAGCTGGAATTATAATTGGAAACATACGATTGGAAACGAAGCTGAAAGCACATACATCAAGTAAAGCTCGAAGATAAGACTGCTGATTAATGGATCTCTGCGACCAGGAGTGACGGATGGATAAGTAAATCTTCTGATGAATCACCATAAGGAGACTGTATGTTTGGAACGAAGGGGGGGTGGAGGAAAAAACTCTTTTTTTCTTTGCATGATGTGACATTAATAACCCTTCACCCCAGATAGAAACAAGATTGTCGCGTTTCTATGAATCACAGGCAGGATTTTAAGAACTATGTGGGACGGAAAGAAGACTGCAGAACGGTGAGAAAGGAAGAAATTTTTTATGACGCAGTTAAAAAATGGCGTCTCGCCATGATAGGTTTACCGAGGAAGAAGGACTGGGGGAGGAGAATCAGGATTGTTTGAAAGAGAAGGAATGTTGGAATGTAAGTCTGACCTGACAGAACCCCCAGACTCATTTGTTATTTGGTAAGCCTGAGAAAAATAAAGGACAGATCGGAGATTAACTTTGTTTATGGAAGCGTTGTACAGAGGCTGTCCCGGATCGATATGATTTTTGGAAAAGTACAAAATCCACATAGAATGCCAGCTGTTATCCTGCTTGTGAAAATCATCAGAGATTGCAAAGAAAGGAATTTATGATAACAACAAGAAGAGAAAAGAAGGACTTTCCGGATCAAACTGGAGAGAACTGTCTAATTAATGCAGTAAGATAAGTGATGCTGTTTTGGACTCGAGCTGAGCTTGATGTATGGGTACCCCCAACAAAATTTAAAATTTGGCTGTATAATTTGGAATCAATGTGATAATGTGATGTGATTGGCCTGTTAATAAAAATTATTTAAAAAAGAGAGAATGGAAGGATACTATTATGGCTGGAAAGAGGGACAGTGTGCTGCTTTGTCATGACCAATTGCATGAAGGTTTATTCTCCTTTAATGTATGAGCTACAAGATTTTTCATGAAACTCCTCACAAGTGGAATGCTAAACAGGAAGCATGTTGTCTCTATGAATAGCCCTGTTCAATGTAGTTCCCCGGCACAACTGAGAATCCCTTTTTGTCAGGGAGAGGGTGAAGAGAGTTAGAAGTTGTTAAAAAAAAGAAATCAACAGTTCTGGTTTGCAGATAAAAAGAAGCTTGGGCTGTAGATTATATAGATATTGATGTATTTAGAGAGAGAAAGAGGAAGAGCTCAGAGACCAGCTCAACACATTTACACCCATCTTGCAGCATATGTAGTGAAGAACTTGCACTGATGTTCTATATTAAAAGATCTGCTGATTGTTTTTCTATGTATAAACTAACATCTGAAATGGTGACCCATGGAAGGCCACAGCAGAGAACTGCCACGGCAAGCACAAATCTTGCAGTTTTACTTGCATTGTGGTGTCAGGCATTTGCTGCAGTCTTCTGTATGTTTCCATTCCCGGCATCATGCTATTTAACGGGACTGGCCAGCTGCAGCAACACCTGCACTGCCTTACAAGCTCAGAGTTTCAACATCAAGACAAATCTGTTGCTTATCCCAAAGCCCTACCATAATTTTATCACCCTCTGGGCTAGAAAACTCTGAGACTTGAGAGCAAGCTTGCATCTGACCCATAGAAAGAGAGGCTGGTGTTGGAACCAGGATGCTGCCGCTTATTTGTTTCATACGAGGGATAAAACTGTGAAACTCCAGATTTGGAGTCTAGAATGATTTCTTTGTTCTGGCGCTTCATATTATTTCCATGCTGGTATGCTCATACCTGGCTTGAGGGACCATTACCAGTGTTGAAGGGAAATTCAGTTTCTGAATATGGAAATGGGTGGCATCTTAAATGTTGGGAGGCATCTTCTCCTTTGCCTCAGGCAACAAAATGTCTTGAATGGCCCTGGGGAATCTTGTTCCACAGAAATCTTACTGCAGCATATCTGCTCTCTGACTGTTGTGTGGTTTTGATTCTGTAGGTTGATTGATGGGATCATAGTATTGCAGAGTTGGAAAGGACCCTGAGGATCATCTAGTCCAACCTCCTGAAATGCAGGAATATGCAGCTGCCCCATATGGGGATTGAACCTGCAACCTTGGTGTTGCCAGCACCACCCTCTGTCCAACTGAGCTATCCAGGCTAGAGCTGTTATGTGGAGACTTTTGGCAGGGGTTTATTTTGATCTCCTCCTGGCTTCAAGACTGTATGGCTCACTTGTTTAAGAAGACACATCTGTATGATTTTGTGCTCTGGCCTGATGTTTAGATGCCCAAAGGCTTGAGCAGTTCCTTCTTAAGTAGTGCTGCTGCTGCTGCTGCAAGTATTACATATTTGTCAATGACAGACATGATGACTTTGGTATACCTTAGTCGTGACCATAACTCTTCAAGATGCTGTGAGGGCACAGAATCTATTTATCAAGCTCATGCATATCAAATATAAGTCATTCTTGCAGCTAACTTAACATTAACCAAATGCTAAGTTTATCTCTGAGTATATGGAAGCATTTCACAGGCACCGTTCCAAACTTCTGCACAACTTCTCTCTCTGAAGACCTGAACTCTTGTATTGCTCTTGTCCTAAGAAGTAAATCGCCTGCCTTCTAATTAAATATAGGCACTTTTGTTTGCTCTCATCTGATACAAACTTACAGACATTTGCCGTGGCCATTGAAATAACTGCTGCTGTTAGTGTTAAAAAAAGAAAGCCACATATCAGTTAATAAATCACCCTAAAGGCATAGGAAAGTGTTTAGGATTCCGCCCATGAGGGGGTCTGCAAAAAGGAAACAACACATGATACAAATAAATAATTTAAGTTAAGAGATAAGAGGATTGAAAGCAAATAATGGAAAACATATAATCCATTATATGTTCATGGAGTATTATAAAATCACAGGCCTGGAGTGTCTCGCAATTTAATAAGCAATATCTAGTTATATAGTTAGGACTCAAAAAGACAACAGCAACACGTCTGTGACATTATAATGGAGCTCTGGGTCCTTTTTCCTTCTGAGGGAAGTGCAACAAAGAACCAGAGTGGTGGTGTTGGAGAAGTTTGAAAGTTGCTAACAGGTTGCATCAAATGGTGTGGATGAAGGTGCTTGATCCTAATGCTGGTCAGATCACTACAGAAAGACGAGATTAGTAAACTTGGGCTAAAACAAGAAAGGGAGTTGTGCAGGGGGCGGAGCTCCTGAGAAAGGACTATGACGACTCTTCAGAGAGCCAGGGTGGAAAGAACAGCTCTTGCTAAGTGGTTGTGATTGCACGCAGGTGAATCTCAGGAATGAGGAAGTATTGATGTGAGAGCCTGTCAGATTGTAGTCTCCATGGGGATATTCTTCAGGAGAGAGTGAGCTGGAGACACTTTAGCCGCTAAACTTCAGCTGCATCTTTTGGCTTCACAGAGAGCAAATAGTTCCACTTCTGATGGTTGGCAAGGGCACACGTAGTCTAAAGGGTGAGGAAACTGCATGTAGCCATGGACCTTTATGCCTTGATCAATAGAGCTTAGTCAGATCTATTACTAAGACACTATAACTATTTTTATATATTACTGTTTTAGCTCTACATTTGTATCTTGTGCTTCCATCAAAGAACTCATGGAGTTGGGTGGTTGGGTGATTGGCCAAACTCCACCCAAAGGTCTCCATGGCTTCACAGGAAGTTGAAACCCAATTCTTGTTCCAATTCCACCCCTCCATTACATTGTCATGGTGTTGAGAGCTTCCCCTTTGCAATCCAGGACATTTCAAGTTTTGGGCCAGTGTAGCAGATGCTGTTCTACTGAAGTGCAAAAACCGTTTTCATGTTCACTCATGCTTCTGAGAGGTTAGGATAAAGAAAAACTAAATAAACAGAAATGTTGGATCAACATTACATTCAGAATTGCAGAAGCGTCATTCAGTTGGAAAATCAGAACTGCCAGATAAATGTATTTCAGATTTCAGTGCCATGCTATTTCTTGGAACATTAAATAAAGCAGTGCAGTGCAGTCCTAAATCCTGAACATTTCCCCATGTGCGTACATGCACTTCAGTCAGATATAATGCAGTTTTATTCACATGCCATTAGACGAATGAACACCTCATATATTTTTGTGTTTGAATTAGGCAGCCCTTCTGTTCCTTAATTTAGGAGATGGGATATCAAAAGAAATTGTCTAATGTTAACATAGGCAATTTCTTTTTTAATGGAGATAGCTTTTAATCTTTTACATATTTTTTGGTGGATGAGACCATGTGCACCTGACTTAGCTGTTGCTCACATTCTCTAAAGCCTCCCTCATTTTTTCAGCCAGGTAGTATCAATTCTTAAACTAGTTTTTCATCTTACAGATAAATAAGCTATATTTGAAGTGACCAAGAAACACATGTCCCATAACCCTTTTTATTTTAATAGAAAAAAATTAAATAAATCTGTGCCTTGAAATTCTAAAAGGCTTAAAGTAATATGAAAGCATATCACTGGATGTTTTGCCTAGGGATGTTTTGTGCTCTTTGCACATGTTTTACTACAGCTAAACAAGTTGGAATTACTTTTAAGAACATAGGGTGGTATGCAACTAAGTCTGTGTAAAAAGGTAAAGGACCCCTGGACAGTTAGGTCCAGTCAAAGGTGACTATGGGGTTGCAGCACTCATCTTGCTTGCAGGCCGAGGGAGCCACTGTTTGTCCACAGACAGCTTTCCTGGTCATGTGGCCAGCATGACTAAACCACTTCTGGCACAACGGAACACCATGATGGAAAGCAGAGCACACAGAAATGCCATTTACCTTCCCGCCGCAGCAGTACCTATTTATCTACTTGCACTGGCGTGCTTTCAAACTGCAAGGTTGCCAGGAGCTGGCACAGAGCAATGGGAGCTCACTCGATCACGGAGATTCAAACCGCCCACTTTCCAATCGGCAAGCCCAAGAGCATCACCCACATCCTAAGTCTGTGTAGACCCACTGAAATAAATAGAATTAGTCATGGTTAATCTAACTCTATTGATTTCAGCAGATGTACTCTGAGTGTGACTCTCTTGTTGGATCAGACCAAGATGCAGCTAGTCAGATATCCCCGTTTTAACTGTCTCATCCAGGTTCCTCACAGCGCATCAAATTTCTCTTTCCAAGTACAATTCAAAGTGCTGGTGTTGACCTTTAAAGCCCTAAACGGCCTCGGCCCAGTATACCTGAAGGAGCGTCTCCACCCCCATCGTTCTGCCCGGACTCTGAGATCCAGCGCCGAGGGCCTTCTGGCGGTTCCCTCTTTGCAAGAAGCAAAGCTACAGGGAACCAGGCAGAGGGCCTTCTCGGTCATGGCGCCCGCCCTGTGGAACGCCCTCCCACCAGATGTCAAAGCGATAAACAACTACCTGACATTCAGAAGACATCTTAAGGCAGCCCTGTTCAGGGAAGTTTTTAATGTGTGATTTTACTGTATTTTTGGTTTCTGTGGAAGCCGCCCAGAGTGGCTGGGGAAACCCAGCCAGATGGGCGGGGTACAAATAATAAATTATTATTATTATTATTATTATTATTATTATTATTATTATTTTCCAATAGATGATAGCCCACTAGCAAGTCAGCGTCTTTGTCTGTTTGTCTGTGGCATCTGATATTCAGCAGTTAGCTACCTCTTCACATTGAGGTTCCATTTAGCTATAGCAGACGGCATGATGGGGCTGCGCTGCTCACCTGACCAACATCTGGCTAAGTCACTGCTGCATATCAGGCTGAAGAGGAGGGATTGAGGCAGTGGCAAGGTCAGCTCACTGCAGAAGCACTGACAGGACACTGGAGCTGCTCTGCTGGCACATTTACACCATGCCAACTTCTCCGTCCTGGTATGCAGCAGTGACTCAGCCAGAGGGAGGTCAGAACAGGAGTGTACAACTGTGCCATCTGCTACTGCCCTTTAGCTATCATGACTGATGTCCATTGATAAATCCATGCTCCCTGAGTTCATCTCACCCTTCTCTAATTTCACACAAAACAGTCTCCTCACTAGGGGCTCCTGCAAATCCTGGATGCGACGTTAATCTCACATAAATATAAATAGCAGCATGTACATGGAATTAATGCACATTTAGGATCATACCCAGAATGATTCACATAATTTCCTTCATGGAAATGACATTGCTATTTAAAAACAAAAATCTGTAGCATGCATGACGCAACCCCAGTTTTCCAGAGCCCACTATTTTTTTTATTGGGTAGCTGTAGTTACAATGACTGTAAGACACAATATCAATACTGTGAAAAAATAGCTAAAGTCACAGAACTGAATTACTAAGCAAAAGCCTTTTGGTTAGGCATCTCATTCTGGCAGATTTGCTTTAGCTGATGTGCCACAGTCCTTTGCCTGGCTTCAGCTGCAGCTGCACCCAGTATTTGGCAGGGTCTGGCAGCCAGACAAACAGGAACGTCTCATTCTGCCCTCAGAGGCACAGACTTCGTTCAGAGTCTTAACCACTGACAAATTGCTCATTTAAGGCCATATATTTTAAGCTTCATGGCCTTTACAATAATGGATCTGTTTTGTAACCACTGGAAGACAATTGGCTTTGTATCCAACTGGATAAGAATTTAAATATTCATCATAAATATGGTCAAAAATTTCAGGTAAAGGTAGATGTGTTTTGAAGTGGTGGGATTAGTATCCCTTCCTGTCTCTCTTTATAAAAACAGTTCACTTATTCCCACTTCTTGTTTTCCCTTCCCATGGAGCCATTTTTTAGGGGAGTTTGGAATCATGGGGCAGCACAGTTAAGAAGGCAGTCAAAGATATTCATCGGCTGATGACACATGGCACCCTGCCAGTCTTCCTGGGCAGCAACAGTGGCTGCTTTGTAGTTACCTCATGCTTTGTCATATAGCTAAGCTTTTAGGCTGCTGAGAAGCTTGCAGAGCTACTTCCCCGCTTCTGGGAGCCATTACCTAGATAAATGTGAAGCTTCGTGTGGAGAAATAAAATACAGCATCCTCAGAAGCACAAATGTATTATAAATTTTGACCTCTTTACATTAAAAAACCCAATTTTGTGTGTGTGCAAGGGTTTCTCCACATGCAGTAATATATTTCACTGTTCCCAAATAGCAGAGTAAGTGTGGAAGACAATTTTCACTATGCTCTTCAAATCCACTGATGCCCTGTCACGCAGTTCACTGGCTCCAGGTTTTTTATTATGATAAAGGGCTTCCATACGCAAAGCCAAGAACAGAGTGGCTTATTTTACCTACCGAGAGAGAAACCTTCTGCAGTGAGTAGAGCTGTTCTTATTTCATATGGTCTCGATGAGAAAGGATTCATTATTTATGTTTATTATACGTTTCGCTTTGGCGCAGTGCAAGCTCCTAAGACCAGTTCTCCGCACAGCATCTGGTCCCGAAAGAGAAACCTGCCTGCTTTTTGTACTCAGTATTCATTTTATGGATTCCCTTCTTAGTGCTATCCTTGCAGTTTTAAGCTCCGCTGTTTCATGTTTACCACATCAGCAAATAATCAAAGCCTTTAGATTCTCATAATTTATTTTATACTTCCTTTCCTGGAAAAAAAAAAGTTAAATGCTTTCATTTAAATAGATCATGCCGCTGTATGTAGAATACAATGGAAATGTAAATAGCCTCGCCGGCTAATCCACATCTGCCTGTGTGTAATTACCGGATGCATGCTGGTTAAGCACTTTTTCTTTTTCTGAAAAGCCAGCTTTTTAATTAAAACATGTGCACAGGGTAAAAGTAGAATTATACTAGGTCTCTCTCGGTAAAAAAAAAAAAACCTATATAAAATGGCAGATCCTTATCAAAAATATCCACTTCCTGTCATGCTCAACAGCTATGTTTCTTTTATTTTATTTAACCAAATATACTTTTACATTTCTAATAAGCCTGCTACAATCTCTCCAGGCTTGTATCTTGTTCCAGGCCACATTTCTGAAGGATTTTCAGGAAGGGTGGGAAGGCAGGAGGAGATGTGCTGTATTATGGAGAAGTGAGGGTGGGGTAAGACAGTCCCACCAGCAAACACACACACAGAGTGGGCTGCTTAACTGTTTAAAGTTAACTGAACCTTCTTCTAAGCCACAGAGGCACTGAAGGGTCAGCAAGCAGAGGGAACTAACCAAAGGTATTGTAGATCAACAACTCTGATGTGGTGGGTCAGCATTTTGTTCCCCTCAACGTGCCAGGTACCAGGTTGTGGACTGGCACTGGTCCAAAGAGCCCCACTTAGTGTAGCACTGTTGTGGATAACTAGTTTTATTTTCAGAAATGCCATGATTTGGTTTATGTATTTACATAGAGGCATTTATAGCTCACCTTTCACTCTGCGTTTGGGTTACGCATCGCTCAGTGCAATTACATCACATACCATCCTCCACCTCCACCCCCAAAACCCTGTGAAAAAATCTGCGTCTTGAGCTGACATCAAAATGTATACCATGATGAGACCAGACACATCTTGGAGGGAAGGGCATTCCACTGTCTGGGGCACTGTAGAAAATGCCTACTCAAGCCCCACTGTCCCAAAACTGCAGCAGCATTTTGGGTTCTACAGTCCCTTAACAAAAGAAATCTAAAATTCAAATATAAATAAATACACATTGCAATGGAGTACATTATTCCCCTGATATTTTGCTATTACACAGACACTTAAAAAAACAACAACAACCTGAGTGCAGTTATCACATGTGGATCGCTTCCTCCAGTTTCTGTTGTTTCTAGAGGAATTCCATCTGGATAAATCCCCCCCTGTGAGTACGGCTCAATTCACCATATATTTAGAGTTGTCAAATATCTCTGCCTTATGTTGATATGTCTGTATCAGGCAGTCATTTTCGGTTGCCATAAGATTATGCCACATTGTACTTTGCCTTTGGTGTCCTTCAAGACATTTAAGTCCTTTCTAGACCTACAGATGTGGCCCATTGTTGCACTGCCCTGATCCATTGCCCTGCGCTTACTTAGACATCAGAATTCAGATTTTTCCCAATTTGAAACATATGATCATAGCTTTGCTTGCTACAGTTGCTCACGGCTGCTCAGAACAGATGCACAAAGTGAACAGGATGGAACCTACCAATGGTGGTGCTTGTGAACTAACCATGGTTTGGTTTAGCAGGTCATTTAAACCTGGGAAAACTACAAGCAACAGCCAAGGTTTGGATGAGACAAACCATGAACCTTGGTTTGGATGACACACTAAGCCAAACCATGGCTTAGCTCATAGTGGCACCCTAGCAGCATGACCAAAGCTGCCAATATCTCCTTCCAGTTTGATGTTACACTTCAGAAAGACAAAAAGCTACAAATAGTGTTATGGATTTCTCAGGAGTCCTTTCTTTTGCAGTTGCCTATTTAATTCTACAGATGTCTGCAAAAATGTCATTTATTAGATCTGTTTTAAAGCTAATTGCAGACTGGTAAGGTCTAACATGTTCAGTATACAGCTCTCTCCCAATCGATGTCTGCTGCTTTTATAGACACAATATCCTAAGAGATTATGATTGGCACGTTTTGGCAATTGATTCAACCTTCATCTGTAAAAGCACACAGTTGTGCCTTTTCTTTGCTGCTGCTTTCAATGAGCCAAGAGAAATATACAGGGGCCCCTATCTGTAACTCGATTATAAAACCTGGAAGGGGTGGGGTGGGGGCTTGATAAACTCAGTCTTTACAAATTCCAGATCTTTACCTCCTGGACTAATGTGTAGACTAGAATGTAGCTCCCTGTTAGATTTTGTACTTTTCCTTATGCTGAGGTGCAATCCTCACTTCCAAAAAAATCAAAATGCATTTTTAAATGCACGTTTTAAGAAAACATATGTTTAGAAAGGCAAATTTTGAATGAAAATGGATTTAAACATATTGAGAAAAAATGGATTTAAGCAACACAGACCAGGAACAGAATAAACCATCCATTCCCAAGCCCAAGTTTCTTGTAACTTTCCAATGTGCTAATATACTACACACGGGGCGTTTTCTGTGCAGTGAAGCAGGACTGCTCCCACCTCCCACCTGCCTTCTGAAATGGTACAATCCACAATTCCACCATCTCCTATTGTATAGAATGACTCACTGAATACCAACCCAGGTGGTGGTCCTGGTATTAGATTTATTTCCCACCCTTCCCCAGAAGGTTCTTTCTACCCTTTATATATAACAATGTGTCTCTGTCTTCATTTTCCAGCCTCTCCATTCTATTCTCTCTCAAAGACACATTCAATGTCTCAACATCCCATACCGTTTAGTACTTATGGGGTGTTTTGTGGGGGGTTATCTGCCCCTTAGGTTGTCCCCTCCCTCATAAGATTTGTTGTACCTCTCTACAACTTCATGGATAAAAAGTAATCAGAGATGGAAAGTAAGACCCAAGCACAAGCATTTAAACTTGATCTATTATGAGATGGAAAATTCAAGTGTAGGTGGATTGCAGTTGAGGAGTGGAACTAGAGTTTGTGCCTCGGCAAGACCCCCCGCCCCCTGCCAATGTGTACCTAGACTGTGGGAGAGGCCATCAAAACCTTCCCTCCTGTCAAATTTGTATCCATTCTTGTTCATTTATCTAATTGTAATGCAAAAAGGTATTGCTGGCAGGTCCAGGATGAGCTAGTGAATGAACCTTTGATGTGATGGTACTGGCGCATCCGGGTTTCTTGCAGGGTCTGGTCCCTGTGTATATTCGGCTGTTGCTGTTGAGCATCCATTATAGATTAGCGAGCTCTCTACATGCAAGGACAGGTCTACCACCCTGGACTTGGGGGAGGCAAGTATCATTTTCCAGGATGGACTATAGATTATTGATAATATATTGGAATTTTTTTAGGTAACAGCACGTGGTGTTCTATCACTGTCTCTTCTGGCTCAGTCTTGAAGCAGATCATTTCTGGGTACCATTCTGTCCTTGCTGAACGGCCTTTTTACTTTATTGGATTCATAGTGTGATTTTATTTTTTTTAAATGCCTGTTGCAAATCCTTACAGTATGTCCCTGTCCAATGATCTGGAACATATGCAGTGGTATCACAGGGATTGGCTACAGAAAAATGGATCTTGTAGTGTCCTCTGGAAGCTAGAAGTATGTACTATAGATATGTTCAGCAGTCAGTGCACACAAAAAATAAGCAATGGATATTGGCAGGAGGTTAAATGCTACAACCTTTCTGAAAATAAACATGACTGAAAACATGTCACATGCAAAATAATAAATAAATCCTGTTTCACAAATGTGTTTAGAAGAAAAGGATCCAACTTTAAATAACAGTTTCCATAAGAAATTGGAAAATAAATAGGATATTGCTTTTCTTTGTGTCTATGGGAGAACAAAAACTCCAGTTCTATGTACACAACAGATGAAAAGTTCTCTGTTCCTAGTAGCCTCTGTGATTTATTTTTAATTTGGAAATATTTCAGAACTTAAGGTAAATCCATGCCATTTTTTCAGCTGCTAACATTATTTTTTCAGGCAGGCATACCTTATTGTGTCAACAGCTGCAGGAAAATGGTGATCCCTTTTGGAGATCCCAAACTGATTCACTTTTTTAAATTCAAGAGTAGTTGAAGTTATCTCATATCACTATTTTTTTCTCTTTCTAGGTGATGTCATTGTCTATATTAATGAAGTTTGTGTCCTTGGGCATACTCACGCAGATGTAGTCAAACTCTTCCAGTCTGTTCCCATTGGTCAGAGTGTCAACCTGGTGCTATGTCGTGGATACCCTCTGCCCTTTGATCCTGAAGATCCTGCCAACAGCATGGTGCCACCACTTGCAGTCATGGAGAGGCCTCCAGTAGTAGTAAATGGAAGACATAACTATGAAACTTATTTGGAATACATTTCTAGAACTTCTCAGTCTGTTCCAGATGTAACAGATCGGCCACCACATTCCTTGCACTCCATTCCAGCAGATAGTCAGCTTGATAGCACATTCCCACCACCTGTTCATGATGATAATGTATCAATGGCTTCTTCTGGGGCCACGCAAGCTGAACTCATGACCTTAACCATTGTGAAAGGGGCCCAGGGCTTTGGCTTCACTATAGCAGACAGTCCCACAGGACAGAGGGTGAAGCAAATTCTAGACATTCAGGGGTGCCCTGGTTTATGTGAAGGTGACCTCATTGTTGAGATCAACCAGCAGAATGTACAGAACATGAGCCATGCAGAAGTAGTGGATATACTTAAAGAATGTCCAGTTGGAAGTGAGACTTCTTTGATTATCCATAGAGGAGGTAAGTCTAGAAAGCCTGCACAATTACAATAATATGTATGAAAGGATCTAAAATATGTTTGCTATGTCACTGTGTGGAAGAAAGTTCTCTTCCTAAATCTGGAAGGAAAAAATGTATACCTACTGAGGCATGTAGGCAAAATGTGATATTATAGTGTAAATTGCCCTTCTGTTATGTTTTGAGACATTTAACACTCATTAGAATTTTTGTCTTTGTAAGTGGAAAATGTAGGTGTTACTGTGTGTCCCAGCTTCTTCTTCTTCTTGTTTTTTGATAGTTTGTTTTGTTTATGCATGATGTTTGTACGTAGAATGTTACAAGATGTATAGTGTTGCAGTATTTAAGGGTAACTCTCATATGCAGATTGGATCAAGAGACCTAATGATCCACTCAACCAAGAGTACATGGTTCATACGAAGCAGGTTGTAAATTCACCCACAACATGTTCAGATGTATCAGTTGATTCTGAGAGTGTTCTCTGATTTGGAAAATCTAATATCTCACAGAGTCCATATTAAGAGATTTAGTTACATATCTGATTGTTCTCCCTGTGGCATAAATATATGATTACTTATATCTACAAGACTTTTATGAACAATTACTACAGATTAGATTTAATTAGAAGTTACCCTGTGGAATTAAAATTGACTGAAAAGACTACCCAAAAAGAGATGAAATAGTAATATGTATGTAGAGCTGACAAAACTTGTAAGTTTCATTGCAGCTGTAAAATTGAAAATGTTTTTTCAGCATTTTTTTCCAGAAACCAATAGTAGCAAGCAAAAACGTATGTGATTTAATAAGAAACTAGGATGGCAGTCCTTCTGCCTTTCTATATATTTCTGTGTGTTAAGAGAGGAGGTTTCATCCCTTCCCTTTAAACCATGATCCCTCCTGGGCGAGTCCCTGCCGCACTGGGCTCAATAAAGTCATTGAAATGAAGAATACTTATTTATGAAGAAGCAAAGGAATGTTTGAATGAGTAGCATTTGATTTAAGAAACCCACTTAAATACGTGTATTAGTTTTGCTTTGAATTTCTCAGTATAATTCAGTATGAATTCTGAATTAAATCTATGCTGGGGAACATTGATGAGATCTCCGGGTATAGGGCGGTATATAAATTCAATAAATAATAATAATAATATTTCTTACCCTATATTTTGATTGCATTACATCACTGCTACTGAGTCAATTTCTCCAAACAGTTTGTATCTAGACAGGATGTATTTAGTATGGGTAGATCGTGCTCATTTGAATATGAATCTGTTATCTCTTAATAAATGTTACCCTTTTGCACATCTAGGCATAGGATAGGATTTTCTTACTGTTTCAATGTTTCTAGAGTCCTGTACTCACATCACATGTGCGTACACTAATTATGCATAAGGGGAGAGCAGAATTGTGCTCATAGGCCGTTTTCCCTGTCCTCACATATGCAGTTGGATTCCTTGTGGACAGCTTGTGTACATTCACTTGGTACATGTGTAGGTTCTATGCCAATATTATGCATGTAGGTGCAGAACAAAGCCACACGTTCATCCTTCACACATGTCATGTGTGTGTGTGTAAGACTAGTGTGAAGCAGTGAATTTAATCAGATGTACAGTAGGATTGCATCTTGCATGATATTACTTTCCGGGATGTAATATGTAAAGGCAAAATCACTTAAAGTTAGAGCAACCCCCCCCCCCGGGACCACCTCCAGGGCTGGTGCAAATTTTGCGGGGCCATCCTAGGTTTTACAAGAACTCACAGAGCCCTCTAAAGCCCACACAAGATGTTCCCAGAGCCTGGGAAGCAATGTGGAGGGTTGAAAAAAAAAATGCTCTTGTCATGCTTGATTTTCCCATTGCTTGCTCTGGAAGCCTTCAAAAGATCATGTGGGAGCCTCCAGAGCTCACATAATACTTCACAGTGTCCGGAAAAACCTGGTGTAGAAATAGCTTCTTAAGCTCTCCTCCTTGCTTTCCAGGTCCTGGGAAGCCCTCGCACCATCTTGGATGGCCCCTTCTGGCAGTTCCCCCCGCCCCTCTTTCCTCCACCCCACTTTTAATTCTTTTTGGCCAAACACGTAAAGCTGTGATCACCTAAGTAAAAACTTGCAGTCCTACTGTATAACTATTTGAAACATCTAGAATAAAAGGCTGTGGTGCAGTCAATGACCCCTAAATAAGACCAAATATCAGAAATGACTTAAAGGGGGGAAGACAAATTTCAGCATTTTAAGCAGTGAATAGCAAAACAAATGCATAGTGGTTTAAAGCAACCATTTTTTTAAAAAATTGAAGAGATGAACATATGAAGAATGAAGCTTTGGTTTATTGAAACCATTACTGGTTTTGGATTTTCACTGTTGCTCTTCCAAGTTAGCTCCTGACAATTTTTTCTGTTTAAGATATATTTTACTCAAATGCAGAATTTTGAACTTTTACTACTCTTTTTCTGTTTTTAACAGTTCAATCCTATACATGTCTAGTCAGTAGTACGTCCCACTGAGTTAAGTGGGGTTTACTTCCAGGTAATTGGGCCTTGGACTGAAGCCTAAATTACTCTCGTGGTGAAGCTGTTTAATCCCTGGTATTTAACATAGTAATAAAAATTTGGTACCTAAAAAAATATTCTTTGGTGCATGTGTTTTGGTGCCTCAGTGGGGATTACGTTTGAGTAGACATGCATTGGATTGCATAGTTAGTGCCTTTAAAAAACCCGATCATGAATAGTTGTCTATGAAATACTTTCCCCCTTTACACTGTTGTAACTAAAGCAGTGATATTGTACATCTATAGACTGTCGGCATTTCTTGGGAGCCGACAATAGAAAGCTGTAGTGTTTTATGTACAATTGACGTAAAATGGAAAATAGGTTTTCTGAACTGGAGATTGCACACATCATCTGAGGCTTATTGTAATCATTAATGCAGTGAATAAAGGACCCCCTGGTTAGATTACTTGACAAAAGCCTGTTTTCCACAAAGCTAAACATTAAGTGCATGGGGGGGGGGATAATTGTAGCCTGTACATGCAGCCAGGCTCTACCATGCGCTGCCTCCCGCGGCAAGCCATATCTATTACAGCAACCTTCCTCAACCTTGCAGCCCCCGTCATCCTAGATCATTGGCCGTGCTCTCCGGGGCTGATGGGAGTTGGAGGGCATCAGGTTGGGGAAAGCTATGTTACAACGACACAATTTTCAGCTCCTGTGTGGTAGTGCAATAAACATGGGCCAAGCTATTTATTTATCTGTTTATTCAAACATTTTTATCCCTCTCTTCCACTCAAAACTAGATACCCACCAGCTTACAGCAAGTATACAATACAAGAAAAGTAATAGTAGTAATTGTAGTAATAATAATAATAGGAGGAGGAGGAGGAGGACAGCAACAAGAGCATATACAAAAGGGTAATAAATGAACAAATCTACAGAAATGCTTGCAGGGTCACCTTGGCTCTAGTAAAAATACTTTTTAATGCACCTCCTGTGCATGGTTACCTAGAAGTAAGTCTCACTGTGTCCTACCAAGTATATTTGGTATAACAACACTATTTTAGTGTTGTTAGCCGCCCTGAGTCTGGCTTCGGCTGGGGAGGGCGGGATATAAATAATTTTTTTTATTTTTATTTTTATTTTTATTTTTATATTTAGGATGTCAGTTCCTCCTGAACACACGCAGTAAGGCGGATAGTCTATCCTTCCCAAGAAGCAAATTCCAAAGTCAGGGCAATGCTACAGAAAAAGGCCAGTTGTGACTCCCAGTTTTCTGCCCCTCACTGAGCAGAGGGCATTGCACCACGTGAGCCTGTTGAAGCTGCTGGCCAGCTTGCAGGGCAGCAGTGCAGCCCCATGGCTAGGGAGGAAGATGAGCCCCCTGAGGCATCTCCCAGCCCAGTGGGAACTCAAGGAGGGGTGGAGTTGTGCTCCCCTTTGAAAGGGCTTGCTGCCATCCCATACAGCCTTCTTCCTCCTCCTCTATAGGCTCCCCACTGAGGGCTTTAGTTGTCACTGGTTTACAGGGCCAGAAAGAAATTTTACTCCCAACCACAACTGGCCCTTGGTGTGGAGGTTTTGGCTTTCTTTCAGGGGTAGTAAGCAGTTGTTAGGCATCTTATATGCATCGTCACAGCTTGATGGAAATGTGATGGGGTAGGCTTTAAGTATAAAGGAGGACCCACCCCATGGAGGCCCTGAGGTTGCAACCAGCTCCCAGCTAGCTAGGTTACCAGCTGTCCCAGTCACATGGTCTTGCACCATGCTGGGTCCTGAAAGCTGGATAACTCCCATTGTATGCCCCAGCAGGGCCTGCAGGGTCAGAAGGCCTTGTCCAGCCCCACCTGCTTTTGTTAGTCAATAAAGCTCCCATCTATGGTGCTTGGTGTGTTATTGGTTTATGTCCTCTCCTATCCCTGAATGGGCCCAGACAGCTACCTCATAGTCACAGATTTGGTCTGCATTGTTGCTGTGGGACTTGCATAGATCATGTCAAGCCCATGTTCTCAATTTAAAAATGTAAATAGGTTATTGAAAAAAGACATTTCTGTGACCTGCTTGAACCATGTCCAACCATCTTTGTTGCTTCTTCTCCCATTTTACTTCTCATTCCTTCTCATGCCTTCTGTTACCTCTCCTATTTCTAGCATCCGACTGCATAAGCATTTCTCTTTTCTGTTTCCTCGGAATATGCCATGCCCTAGTGCCACTGTTCATTTATCCCATAGCCTCTAACGAACCGCACTTAACTTTTTTCCTTGTCTTTTCATGGCTTTGCATCTCAAGATTCTATCAGAATCTTAGCAAGCTCAGCATCAAAACAATTTCACTTTCACACATGAAGGTACTCTGGAAATCTTTTGTTTGTAAAGAGACTGAGTGGTGCAAATGTTTCCAGAATGTCCGATGTTATGCTGTGAACTGCTCTGAGATCTTCAGACAAAGGGCAGTATACAGATTTCATAAATAAATAAAATAAATACTGTGTGTCAACCACCTTCTATACCACTGGAA